ACACTCATGAAAATATCCTAAAGCGTAAACACTTACAGTGTACTCCGAGCCAAAACAAGAAACTAGTTAGAAATCAATGCATGATCCTAGCTATGTTAAAATGCCTAATGTAACACATGTAAAAGTGTAACTATTTAGGCTCGGCTATCTAATGATGGCATATGAATGCAACACTTGATAACATGCTTTGAAACACGTATTCAAGTAAGTGTATTGAAATACAATGTGGTTTGAATGATATGCCGAGCCCGGTGCATGAAAGACGAATGAATGATGCACGCATGCAAAGCATAAGGTATGCTAATTGAAATATGTCCTAAAACTAACCATCAAAAGCATATAAGTAAAAGGGAGAAAGAAATGGGGATTGGAAGACATGCACACACATACACACCCTTATTACAACATTTGCCTTCCCGACGAAGGGTCCGAATGAAATGAAAGCTAACTAGCTACGCTAATTAAGCTAACTATTACAAACCACAACTAATTAACTATTCTAATTAACTAATTATTACAACACAAACCGATTAGCTAAGCACATTAACTAATTAAGTACAGAACCAACGAATTAACCATCTAAGCAAAATAGTTAAAAGGCCTCAGGGGCGAGGGATGCATGCATGCTTGATCGGCTTCCCACCGAAAATCTGTCGCCTAGTCACCGGCTGCCTCTGTTTGCGTTCGCATTGATTCCTGAACACTGAACCAATTTACAGGCTGCCTCTGCTCCAAAACCAGAACCACTTTGAACCACCTTCAAATTGGTGGACTGTCGGCCACTAGGGGAAGTTGTAGACCACTTAAAGTGGCCGGTCGGCCACTTCCTCTAGCCGGTCGGCTACTCCTCCTAGCCGGTCGGCCACTTGCTCCTGCACACTCCAATTTTTGCTGCAAACAGAGTACAACAAAGGGAAAGCTAGGTATTTGTAGGGTATGTGTGTACAAACATCCTCCTTATCATTTCTCAAGCTCAAAGGAGTGTGGTACTCGACTCTCAGGCCACCAATCGAGCATCGCAATGCACGATGGCTATGATAACCCTGGTCCGTATTATGTTAATTGATCCTAATTATGCTTGTGATTATGTGCTTAATATGATTTTGGATGCGACTTATATGATTATGCATGTGTTTGGTATTCTATCTGTTCACCGTAGGAAAACCTATTCAATTTATTGTTGTAATCTGAAAATTGAAGGCCTTATCGGCCACAAAAATCAGAATTGGCAACGCCATTGTGATTGGCATAATTTTTAGAGCCTATGGTAAAATTTAATTGAAAATTGATTCGGATCAAAATAATCAGATTCAGAATGACTAATTAAAGCACCATTACTTAATTCTAAGTAATTTGATTAAGAGAGCCTATAAATAGGCTCATTCACACTCAATTCCTCTCTTTTAATTCATTTGGCTGAAATTAGATCTCTAGAAAGTGAGAGAACCGAATTTAGAGAGAGAGAGAGAGTGAAGGCAATTGAAGGTTTGATCAAGAAGCTTGGGAATCTTGAAGATAAACTCAAGGATTAACCATAATTTGGAAGATTGAGCTTCTAGGTGTGTAATTGGTTATGAATTCAGAAGTTTGAGGTTGTAATTTTGTGAATTCAAGTTAGATGATCATCTAGAACTTGACATGAAGTTGGTATGTTCATGCATGCATAAAATTGCCATAAATTTGCATAAGCTAGCATGTAATATGTTGATTATGAAAAATTGAGCATTGAAGCATACATGCAAGCATAGTTTTGTTGAGTTTCATGGTTGTGAGCGCCATTGGTGCTATTTGAAATGGAATTGGGGTCTAAGACTAAAATGCATGTTGAATTGATAGAGACATGAATTTTTGTATGATGTTCGAATGCATGGGTTTTTGGTCATACAAAAGAAATGAGGATTTATTTGAGAATTGGGTTATGATTTTGAATAATTTGGTCTCATACTCTCATACTCTCATATAGTATAATGTGTTTGCATGTTTCTGAACCCAAATAATGAGTTTGGAGCCTTTGGACATCAAGGTTGAACTTGAAGAACAATTCTGGAAAACCCAGAATTTGGCATGTCCGCTTGAGCGGGGAAAGCGCCGCTCGAGCTCGAAATGCGAGCTCCCAGAATTTTTTGCAGACATTGATGTCCGCTTGAGCGGGGACATTCACGCTCGAGCGTGGAGTCATGTAGTGTGACTTTCAGCTCGAGCATCCGAAGTCACGCTCGAGCGTAAATATGAGGCAACCAGAACTTTTGCAGACCAAAGGCGGGTCCACTCGAACGGGGCAACCTACGCTCGAGCAGGGAACCTTGTTTCTGAAATTTTGTAAAGTTGAATTGAGTTTTGTTTTCCATTCTCTGTCATCTCTAAGCGCTCTTAGGCATGCATTAAGCATTGTAAATGAGTTAAAAATGATAAGAACGAAACCTAAGAGGAATATATGAATTACAAATGGAATGAATCGTTTGTGACCCATTATGTTCATGAAATGTGTAGAGTCGAGCATGAGAGCAAATCCACCGGCAGATCACTGTGAGTAATATCTTAGTAAAGATATTTTCAAGTATGTTACTTTCCAAATGCTAGTCCTGTATAAGCTCCATGGATTTGTTGATTTGAAATACGAATGAGTATTTTATATGCCTAATTTGTACAAGGCCGTTTGATACGTTTGATATATTTGAATTCGGCCTAAGGCCGTTTGCCATTTGTCATTTGCCGTTTGCCGTTGATATGTTTGATATATTTGAATTGGGCCTAAGGCTGTTTGCCATTTGCAATTTGCCGTTTGCCATTGATATGTTTGATATATCTGAATTATGCATGGGTTTTTGGTCATACAAAAGAAATGAGGATTTATTTGAGAATTGGGTTATGATTTTGAATAATTTGGTCTCATACTCTCATATTCTCATATAGTATAATGTGTTTGCATGTTTCTGAACCCAAATAATGAGTTTGGAGCCTTTGGACATCAAGGTTGAACTTGAAGAACAATTCTGGAAAACCCAGAATTTGGCATGTCCGCTTGAGCGGGGAAAGCGCCGCTCGAGCTCGAAATGCGAGCTCCCAGAATTTTTTGCAGACATTGATGTCCGCTTGAGCGGGGACATTCACGCTCGAGCGTGGAGTCATGTAGTGTGACTTTCAGCTCGAGCATCCGAAGTCACGCTCGAGCGTAAATATGAGGCAACCAGAACTTTTGCAGACCAAAGGCGGGTCCGCTCGAGCGGGGCAACCTACGCTTGAGCAGGGAACCTTGTTTCTGAAATTTTGTAAAGTTGAATTGAGTTTTGTTTTTCGTTCTCTCCCATCTCTAAGCGCTCTTAGGCATGCATTAAGCATTGTAAATGAGTTAAAAAGGATAAGAATGAAGCCTAAGAGGAATATATGAATTAAGAACGGAATGAATCGTTTGTGACCCATTATGTTCATGAAATGTGTAGGGTCAAGCACGAGGGCAAATCCACTGGCAGATCACTATGAGTAATATCTTAATAAAGATATTTGAAGTATGTTATTTGTCCAATTGCTTATTTCTATATCAGTCTTACAAGTTTCTTAAATTGAATTGTGGACAAATATTTGTTATGCCATATGGTTAGATACTATTGAATGGGCCGAAGGCCGTTTGACACCAATGAATGGGACAAAGGCCGTTTGACATGAATGAATGGGCCGAAGGCCGTTTGACATGAATGAATGGACCGAAGGCCGTTTGACACGAATGAATGGGCCAAAGGCCGTTTAACATGAATGAATGGGCCGAAGGTCGTTCGACACGAATGAATGGGCCAAAGGCTATTTGACATGAATGAATGGGCCAAAGGCCGTTTGACAGGAATGACTGGGCCAAAGGCCATCGGACAGGAACGATTGGACCAAAGGCCGTCGGATATGAATGAATTGGGCCCGAGGCTGTTTGATGTGTTTAGAATCGCAGTCACTTGACCTATATTTATATGTACTAGATACAAATATGAATTGGGCCCAAGGCCGTCTGATGTATGTTGTTCTAAATACCGTTTGTGTATCTTCTTTATTTGATATTATTCACTGGGTTTTCACTCATGCTCATTCATTTGTCTGTAGGTGAGCCAAGGGAGGTCCAAACCCAGCCTCTGTGAAGTTTGTGTGAAACAGTCAAGGTTTTGAAGAGTCAGCCCATACGTCTCACGCACGAGATTTGTTTTCGGCCTTTTGCTATTTTGTTATATTTTTTTTGTCATGTTGGTGAGAACTTTGGATTACGGTTGTATATAGTTTTGATTGGCTGACCATGACTTGAATGATCCTGTTGTGTAAAGCTTATATGCTAGCTTTCCTTGATGTGAGTTATTATTGTATGTTTGTGAAATGTTACGACATGCCATGTAAGTACAGCTCTATGGACAAAAGTTTGAAATTGCTTCCGTTTGGCCCCCTTAACTCTGTTAAAATATATTTGATTTGGTTTAAGGCCGTAGGTAATCTCATGATTACTAGCCAGTTATGTCCTTAACCCATGGGGGCGGGTTCGGGCCATGACAAAGTGGTATCAGAGAACGAGTTAATAACTCACACACTTGTCCAAATGAGCAATAAGCATCTAGAAAAGATCTAGGATGCATTCATGTTATAAGTACAAATCTGAAAACATCAAGAATGTGCTTAAATGCTTTGAGATAAATGCTTGTACACCATATGTTGTGAACTACTTGTATTATAAATTATTTGAATACGCATGCTTCTTGGTATATGCATATTTGTGAAACTGTTATATAAAAGAATAATGCAAGTCTAATCAGATGGTGAGAACGAGAGGTGATGAGATAGAGGAGTCCTCTACTGCCAGAATGGATAGGATGGAAAGATTGATTCAGGAAATGGCAAAAACATTGAGGGAAAAACAACAGTGGCAACAATAGTGGCAGCAGCCACATCCTCCACCTCCATCTCTGGCACCACTCGTGCCAGACTTACAGAATGATGACTGAATAATAGCTCTCACCAAAGAGTTTAAGAAAATGAAACCGCCACAGTTTCATGGGGGATTAGATTCGTTAAAGGCAGAAACATGGGTCCTCGACATTGAAAAGCTATTTGAAGTGTTCCCTTGTTCAAAGACACAGAAAGTATTGTTAGCCACTTTTACTCTTGAAGATAAGGCAAGAAGGTTGTGGATGCTAATGCGTGAAAACAACAAGGATATTGGTTGGGCACGGTTCTTGGAGATTTTCTATGACAAATACTTTCCACAGTGTGTTCGTGACAGAAAGGTGTCAGAATTTATGGAACGTAAACAAAACAGCATGACTGTAGCTGAGTATGAGGCCAAGTTCACTGAATTGGCTAGGTTTGCACCGCATGTGGTCGACACCGATGACAAGAAAGCGAGACATTTCGAAGGGGGACTCCGAGATGATATTCTGGAAAAAGTGAATGTTCTCAAACTGGAGACCTATATTGAGGTGTTAGACCGAGCCATAATATCTAAAGCTAACATAGCCAGACAAGCTACATCAACAACTGGCTGGAAGGGTAGTAAAAGACAAGGCTTCTTTTCGAAGAAGAAATTTTCAAAGAAGCAGAATATAGGCTCCTCAACTACTTCTAACTCTTCCCGAGACACATCTCCAATGTGCAATATTTGCAGTAAAAGGCATCGCGGAGTTTGTTACCGTATGTCAAGGGCTTGTTTTAAATGTGGTAAAACGGGACATATGGCCAGAGAGTGTAACTAGAACAGTGGAAAATTAGCTGCTAGCTCAACAGCATCCATACCAAAACCGGGAAATACCATGAGATCTACTATTGCTGGGGATACCGTGAGGCAAAGGAGAGTTTTTGTGCTTGTTCCGGGCGATACACGGAATGCTGAAGCCGTTGTCTCAGGTACTATCTCTATATACAATCAGGATGCTTTTGTGTTAATTGATTCTGGATCAACACACTCTTTCATAACATGTGCATTTGCATCTAGACTGAGTAGACTTCTAGAATTATTGCCATATATGCTATGTGTATCTGCTCCATCTGGGGAATCTGTATTGTGTGAATCTATATATCATTTTTGTGACATGCAAATTGGGAATGCTATTCTCTATGTGGATTTGTTGCCCTTGAACTTTAGGCACTTTGATATAATTCTGGGCATGGATTGGTTAACTAAATATTGTGTCACCATTGACTATGTAAGAAAACGGGTTGTGTTTAAACCACTGGAACAGGAAGAAATTGTGTTTGTAGGTAACGGGGTAGTGCCTCCACCATATCTGATAGCTGCAATGAAAGCATGTAAATTAATCAGGAAAGGGTGCCACGATTATTTGTGTTGTGTGCTATCTAAACAATCTGTGAATGTTGAATTGAACAGTATCCCTATTGTTAGGGAATTTCCAGATGTGTTTCCAAATGAATTACCAAGGAAATTGGTAGACAAGGAGATAGAGTTTACCATTGAAATTGTGCCAAGCACCCAGCCTATTTCTAAAACTCCCTACAGAATGGCTACTGTTGAAATGAAAGAACTGAAAGAACAGTTGCAAGACCTGCTTCACAAAGGGTTTATTCGACCTAGCACTTCACCATGGGGTGCACCAGTGTTGTTTGTGAAAAAGAAAGATGGAACCTTGCGTTTGTGTATCGACTATCGAGAATTGAACAAGGTAACAATAAAGAATAAATATCCCCTACCTCGTATTGATGACCTGTTTGACCAGTTGTAGGGAGCACAAGTGTTTTCCGAAATTGATTTGAGACCCTGGTATCATCAGTTGAAAGTGAAAGCTGAAGATGTTGAGAAAACCGCGTTTCGAACAAGGTAGGACCATTATGAATTTCTTGTTATGCCATTTGGGGTAACTAATGCTCCGGCAACATTTATGGACTTAATGAACCGAATTTTTAAAACCTACCTTGATGAATTTGTTGTAGTTTTTATTGATGATATTTTGATATACTCAAAGGATAGACTTGAACATGAACAGCATTTGAGAACTGTTTTGCAAACCCTTAGAGAAAAGAAATTATTTGCCAAACTAAAGAAATGTGAATTTTGGTTGGATGAGGTTACCTTCTTAGGGCATGTTATCAACAAGGAGGGAATTTCAGTGGACCCACAGAAAATAGAGGCAATTGTGAATTGGCCCACACCAACAAATGTAACAGAAGTCCGCAGCTTCATGGGCCTAGCTGGGTATTACCGAAGGTTTGTGAAAGATTTTTCAAAAATAGTTGTGCCTCTTACCCAGCTGACACGCAAAGAGCAACCGTTTGAATGGAATGATGAAAGAGAATATGCATTTCATGAACTAAAAACGGGACTGACCACTGCACCAGTTTTGACACTACCATCAAGTACGGAGAATTTTGTGATTTTCAGTGATGCATCTTATAAACGTTCGGGTTGTGTGTTAATGCAGAATGGAAGGGTAATTGCTTATGCCTCCCGACAGTTTAGGCCACATGAAAAGAACTACCCAACACATGATATAGAATTGGCCGCAGTTGTTTTTGCTTTGAAAATCTGGTGGCACTATTTGTGTGGGGCAAAATGTGAAGTCTACACAGATCACAAGAGCCTAAAATACTTCTTTACACAGAAAGAGCTGAATATGCGACAGAGAAGGTGGCTTGAATTGATAAAAGACTATGACCTCGAGATTTAGTATCACCCTGGGAAAGCCAATACAGTTCCTGATGCTTTAAGCAGAAAATCGATGGGGAATTTGGCTTGTTTACTTACTGAACAAAAGGAGATCTTGCAAGATTTTGAGAAGTTCGAGATAGAAGCGGTATCGTGTGAATAGGGTGGATTGATAGCCGCTATTTCAGTTAAACCAGCAATCATCTCTGAAATTAAACAGAGGCAAAAAGAGGATGAATTCATCAAGAAAGTGATCGATGAATTTGAGACAAGTCCGAAGGCAGAGTTCAGCCTTGAAAATGAAGTGCTGAAATTTCGAAACCGAATGTGTGTCCTAGATGTTCCAGAACTAAAGAAGAGAATTATGGATGAAGCCCATAAATCAGTGTTTGCTATGCATCCAGGTAATAACAAAATGTATCGGGATTTGAACCAAAGCTATTGGTGGCCCAAAATGAAGAAGGAAATTGCAGAACATGTGTCCAAGTGCCTTCAATGTCAGCAAGTTAAAGCTGCACATCAGAAACTGGGCGGTCTGCTTCAGCTTCTCCCTATTCCTGAATGGAAGTGGGAGCATGTGACTATGGACTTTGTTGTTGGTCTACCCCGAACACCTCGAGGTATGGATTCTATCGGGGTTGTAGTTGATAGGCTGACTAAATCTGCACATTTTCTACCTGTCAGAACTACATTTGATGCTTATAGATTGGCTACTATATATGTTGATGAGATTGTCCATTTACATGGAGTCCCGGTATCCATTGTCTCGGATAGAGATCTGAAATTTGTGTCTAGATTGTGGAAAAGTTTGCAAAAAGCTATGGGAACAGAATTGAGGTTTAGTACCGCATTCCACCCGCAGACTGACGGGCAATCAGAACGGACAATTCAGTCCTTGGAAGATATGCTTCGGATGTGTGCTTTAGATTTCCAAGGGAGTTGAGAAAATTACTTGCCACTAGCAAAGTTTGCATATAATAACGGCTTCCACTCCAGCATTGGTATGGCACCATATGAGGCTTTGTATGGTAGGAGGTGTAGATCACCAATTTGCTGGGCAGAAGTTAGGGATAGGGCCTTGCTTGGGCTTGAAATTGTGCAAGACACTTTTGAAAAGATCAAGATTATTCAGCAAAGGCTCAAGACGGCCGAGAGCTAGTAAAAGAATTATGCAGATGTTCGAAGAAGACCCCTTGAGTATGAGGTTGGTGACCATGTGTTTATCCGTGTGACTCCGATGAACGGCCAAGTAAGATTCGGTAAGAAAGGTAAATTATCGCCCCGTTACATTGGGCCGTTCCAAATTCTAGAAAGCCGTGGTCCTGTTGCTTACCGAGTCGCTTTGCCACCGTGATTCGAACAAACACACAATGTATTCCACGTATCAATGTTGACGGGTTATCTTCAAGATCTGTTTCATGTGATTGATTATCACCGGATAGCTCTTGATGAAAATATGGAGTACGCAGAATGGCCTGAACGACTCATTGACCGGCAAGTAAAACAGTTGAGAAACAAGTCCATCCCGATGGTGAAGGTGGAATGGAAAGAACACTATGGGACGGACGCTACATGGGAAAAAGAGAATGAAATGCGGCTATGCTGTCCACATTTGTTTCCCGACAAAGGTAAAATAAGTTTGGAGGACCAAACTTCCTAAAGGAGGGAAGACTGTGATAACCCTGGTTCGTATTATGTTAATTGCTCCTAATTATGCTTGTGATTATGTGCTTAATGTGATTTTGGATGCCACTTATATGATTACATGCGTGTTTGGTATTCTATCTGTTCACCATAGGAAAACCTGCTCAATTTATTACTGTAATCTGAAAATTGAAGGCCTTATCGGCCACAGAAACCAGAATTGGCAACGCCATTGTGATTGGCATAATTTTTAGTGCTTATGGTGAAATTTAATTGACATTTGATTCGGACCAAAATAATCAGATTCAAAATGACTAATTAAAGCACCATTACTTAATTTTAAGTAATTTGATGAAGAGATCTTATAAAGAGGCTCATTCACACTCAATTCCTCTCTTTTAATTCATTTGGCTAAAATTAGCTCTCTAGAAAGTGAGAGAACCAAATTTAGAGAGTGAAGGCAATTGAAGGTTTGATCAAGAAGCTTGGGAATATTGAAGATAAACTCAATAAGTAACCATAATTTGGAAGATTGAGATTCTAGGTGAGTAATTGGTTATGAATTCATAAGTTTGAGGTTGTAATTTTGTGAATTCAAGTTAGATAATCATCTAGAACTTGAATTGAAGTTGGTATGTTCATGCATGCATAAAATTGCCATGAATTTGCATAAGCTAGCATGTAATATGTTGATTATGAAAAATTGAGCATTGAAGCATACATGCAAGTATAGTTTTGTTGAGTTTCATGGTTGTGAGCACCATTGGTGCTATTTGAAATGGAATTGGGGTCTAAGACTAACATGCATGTTGAATTGATAGAGACATGAATTTTTGTATGAAGTTTGAACGCATGGGTTTTTGGTCATATAAAAGAAATGAGGATTTACTTTAGAATTGTGTTATGATTTTGAATAATTTGGTTTCATACTCTCATATTCTCATATAGTATAATGTGTTTGCATGTTTCTGAACCAAAATCATGAGTTTGGAGCCTTTGAACATCAAGGTTGAACTTGAACAACAATTCTGGAAAACCCAGAATTTGGCATGTCCGCTCGAGCGGGGAAAGCGCCGTCCGAGCGTGAAATGCGAGCTCCCAGAATTTTTTGCAAACATTGATGTCCGCTCGAGCGGGGATATTCATGCTCGAGCGGGGAGCCATGTAGTGGTACTTTCAGCTCGAGCGTCTGAAATCGCACTCGAGCGTAAATATGAGGCAACCAGAACTTTTGCAGACCAAAGGGGGGTCCGCTCGCACGGGGCAACCTGCGCTCAAGCGGGGAACCTTGTTTCTGAAATTTTGTAAAGTTGAATTGAGTTTTGTTTTCCATTCTCTGTCATCTCTAAGCGCTCTTAGGCATGCATTAAGCATTGTAAATGAGTTAAAAATGATAAGAACGAAACCTAAGAGGAATATATGAATTACAAATGGAATGAATCGTTTGTGACC